AGTCTTCCTTCGATCCTAGAGATCGCAATAAAATTGCTCGTTTTTTCATCAGTGTGGGATGACGCGTTGTCATGATGTATAAAAAGTGCACCAAATCCCCTTTCTTTATGTTTTCCAACAAATTTTTGAAAACTTTTGGTGAGCACTCTTCGGTGTACCTTTCTAGTTTCAATCGTGGGTCTTTATAAATTTTGTACTTCACCAGAGCTACAATGATGTCATCAGTGAAAGATTTTGGTCGTCTTTCTCTGGACTCATCCTCCAAACAAGTTCTTTTAAAACCTTTACCAAGTCAGCTGGTTCATGCAACTTTATTTTTCAAAAGTGTTTTGTGTGAATTTTTGAAGTGTTAACTGTTGAATGTGTTACTTAAATGTTAGGAAAAGTTTAAACGGAAAAAGATGCGAACGGAAGTTGAGAGGAGAGAAAAATGTTGGCAAGGACAGAAAGAGAGAGAGAGAGAGAAGAAGGGAGTTATGTTATCTTTAATTTTCATTAAAGAGTTTACCTTCGACTAAGCTCTCAGAGAGTTACGTGAAAATTATTAAACTTTTGCAGCTCATTTAAGTAGAAGATTTCAATGTGAATTTTACGCCAAAAGATGAACGCCTCTTGACCCAATTCCTCCAAGATAAATTAGAAATACAAATAAATAATATTGTCAATGAGTCTACCACAAAATATGAAGCAACATTCGACGTGGTTCTTTTCTGATTTCTTTCTGATATTCATATTTATAGGTCCATCTCGCTTTTTCTCTATGAGAACACCATTTAGAATATATTTCCAGCGCATTAAAGGTATATGAGTTGAGGGAATCAAGGGAAATAAATTTTTTTGATAAATTCTGCGTAAAATTAATTTAATGTTATGACATATTTATGGTAGCTTTTTTTAGTGCATAATTAAATTTGCTGAAAGTTTTTTTTTATCAAATATCAGTTAATTTATTTTTTCAATGTATAAATAACTCTTAAAAGCTTTTATCAAATATTTATTTATTAAAAATGTTCAATAAGCTTAATGCGTGTTGGTTTTTTTGTTGTTACCTTTTTCTTGCATTTCAAGATAAATAATTTATAATTATTGATATAAAGTAAATTTTTTCATGAAAAAAAAATATCTATGGTAATGGCAATTGGTAAAGCAATTTTATCTATTAATTAAGCAAAAAACAGAAACAAATATGATTTTGCTCTCAGCAGTAAAAATCATCGATAATTTTTTAGTTGTTTTAATTTATGACAAAGGCATATATATGCATGTATATATATATATTTTTTTTTAAATATCAATAATTTTTTCAAACACAATGTGCATACAAATTTTATAATAATAATTTTTTCACAATGCACACAATTCATTGAATGAAGGGTCTGCTACATAAAAAACAATTTTATTTATATTTTGCTTTATATTTATATTTTTTTTGTTGCTTTCCAGTATTTTTTTTATTGTGTATTTTTTCTTAAAACCCAATTAAATGAGGTATAAAAATAAAAAAAATTTAGCAACGCTCCGTATAACGATAATAATTATTTATTTTATTATTTATCGGCGCATGAGACACAAAAATGCTAATAAGCAAAGGATTTAATAAATGTGTGTGTGCTTTGGGTTCAACCTTTTTTTTTTTTGTTTTATACATACCAATTTGTACATTAATTAAATTTATTTTCCTTCTTTCTTTTTTGCATTTCAACGCAATGTTGCATTAATGCATAATTTTATAATTATTTTCTGGCTAATCTAATGGCATTTGCGATGCGTAAATTCCAATGAATTATTGTCCATAATATTAATTCAGTAAAAAAATATATATTTATATATTTATATATAAAAAAATAAGATCCCACCAAAATAGCAGGAATTTGATATAATAATAATGAGTGCCACGAAGAGGGAGGTGGAGAGAGTGGCAAAAAATAAATATTCTGCGTTAATTGCATTTCGTTTGGCGTAGCACGAAAAATTTGCATAAAACATGAAATGAAATAATTCAAGCGAAAATAAAAACCCGCAAAACCGCATAAATAATAAACAGCATTTTTTTCGGTGACTCGTTTGTTTGTTTGTTTGTTTGTTTGTTTGTGCGTTGCATTGTGAAAATATCATGGCGCTGCGCTAATGCGATGCAATTACAATTGCACTATATGGATGTTGCCATACTTAAAAATGCGCATTAAACTGGCATTTGAGTGTGCGGTTTATTAATATTCATTGGTGGAGTGGCGCAAAAAAAAATATGTATTTATTTAAATAAAAGTAAAATAAATTATCTACATTTATCTCTAGGTATTGTTTGACCAAAAAGCCTTATTAGGCATTTAAATGCACATTTGGCTGCGAATTAGTTCGTTTTTCTGCCGCTGCTGCTGCTGCTGCTGCCTGGCAACCAATCAGCTAATAATACAAATGCAACAAACAATATAGCAACAGTAACAACAATGCATTTAATGGCACTGGCAAATTATTAATATATACACAATTTTTTGGTTTTTTTTTTTATTTGCTGTAATTTTTTGTTATTTTCGTTGTAATAATAAATTAAAATATAAATTTATATAAATATGAAATCATGCAAAATATGCAAAATGACAGTGTGCGAACGACAAATATTTTTCAAATAGTGGTTAATGCTATATTATTATTATTTGCAATTATTGCTATTGCATATGTCAGTATGTATGTAGCACTTTGTGCAGTGGATTGTAATGCAAAAGGCATATACGTATACGTGTATGTGTGTAGAAAAACCGCAACATTTACAAAATGCAATAATTAAATGCCAACCAATAAAATATGCAAATGAGTTGTGCGCCTTTCTCTCTTCCACTTCCCCGTCTCACCCTTTTTCTCTCTTTCTTACTCTCACTCTGCCTCTGCGTGCGTGCATTTGAGTGGCGGTCGCGCAATGCAGGCATTAAAAAAAAAACACAGCATACGTTTAGGCGCACTGGCGCACTCACATTCCACACATATGTACATATATATGCATGTATAAATGCTTAATTTGTTGAAATTGCAGTAAACCGTCAGCGATGCAGTCGTCGCCGCCTAAGCGCACAGCGCTGGCTATTTCACACTTAAGCACACACACCACATAACATGCTTGCCATTGTGTGTGTGTGTGTGCTTGTATAGTGAAATGGCAATGAAGCAATGCGTTGCTGGTTGCTAATGCATTGACATGCACACATAAGCGTGCACACACACACAGGTATGTATATACCTATACTTGCGTACATTGGAAATATTATAATAACTCCTCCGGCCTCAGTGTGCTCATGTTTGCTGCAATGTTGATTTGTGGCATGAGTTGTTTTGCGATTTTTGTTATATATTTGCAACAACACCAAAAAAACATGTACGTCACTAAAGTGCTTTTATGATTTGTAATTCGCTAAAATTTGTACATAATTCATGTACACACCCATTGTGGTCTGCTGCGGCAGTGAAAGAAATTAAAAAAAAAAAAAAAAAAATTAAAAATAAAATAATATTTATTCAAGAGACACTGCGTAGAGTGCGCGAGAAGTAGACAATAAATTTGTTATTAGTTTTATATTATAACTATAATTTAAATGAGCTCAATAGACGCTTAAAAGAGGCTTCACAGTGCCCTGGAGCAAAAAAAAAAAAACCTAAAAGGAAATAACTTTTAAAAATATTTAAAATCTCTAAAACTAACCATTCTTTGTGGCGTATAACTCGAAAGTTTTTAAAGCACGCAAGGTTTTTGCAACCTTCCATTGAGAATCCACAATGGTGCGTTGGTTCAAAGCGACGAGGCATAGGGTATCTCATTTGCCGCGCATCTTCATCCAGTGTATATATTTATGCGCAATCTTCTCTCCAACTCTATTCTAGAAGATTTGTTTCAATTTCATTTTAAATCACTTGTCGATATTTACTTATTTATTTATAGCATAAATCTTATAAGCTAAGCTATTTGCTTAGGAGCTATAACTTAAGCTCAATACTTTTTTTATTAAAAAAAAATAAACCGATTTTAGAATCGAAACAGTTTATTTCATGCCATCACTTCGAGTTCAGAAAAGGCACAAAACATAAGGTCAGCGTTTGAAAATAAGCAATACTACACTGCAGTGTTCCTTGTTGTTGCTCAAGCTTTTGATAAAGTTTGGCTAGTTGGACTATTATATCAGCTAAAAGGTACGCTTTCTGCAAATATTTATGCCTTATTGAAAAGCTTCCTTCTTTTACTGGCAGAATATTTAGGGTTGGGTAGTGTAACTTTTTTCACTACACAATCCTATAAACCCTATGCTTTGCTTCCTCAAACAGTCTGGCCAAAGCGGAGTTAACGTCCCGATTGTTGTGGCCTGCAAATTCAGTCATCAGTTGGGAAAGCTTCAACCATCTCTATTGAGCTCTGAAGCTAGTCTTATTTCTCCAGTATTAAATCAAAGCGAAACTTGTCTGAAGATTTCTTTGATATCAAACGTCACGGAGTGTTGCTTCTTGATCCATCGTAGCTTTGGTTGTTGCTCAAGTTAAGGTACTTAATGCAGCGCTGACTTTTGCGGAAGCTTCCTAGATCCTGTTTCTAATACCTTTTCACTATGAGGCACCTTACTATCACCTTCACGGGATTTAAAAGTTTATTGAATGTTGACATAAATGTCAATGGCGTTGATACTCCAGCTCTAAGCAACTGGCAGCTGCATTTCTATAACGTGTGTGGTTTTCTATCCTAGTAATTCTGATGAAAATATAGTCTGTATATCCCTTCAATTGTTAGTGAAAACTCAAATCGCACAGCACAGACTCGAGATTGGAGTTGGAGCTTGCTCAGCGCTAATCAAAAATGAAAAATTTCTCAACTTCCTCAGCAACCTTTTTATGTCTCCGCGAAAACATTTAAGGTTTAAATAAACACAAAAACTATTTCACTGTTGATATAAAAAGTGAAACAAAAAATAAAAATAAAACTCATTATTAAAATCCTCTCCGCCACTTGTACCATCTCTTTTCAGGCTCTCGACTACGACTGCCACGTGCAGCAACAGGACATTCCGCAGGCCATACAACTGCTCGGTGAAATGAATAGTAATGTTAAACAAGTCACCGATCTGGTTGAGAGCATGTTACAGCGCGTCAAACGCGGCGAACTGACAACAGAATATGGGCTAAGCTTTCTCGAAGTCAAATATCACATGCTGCTCGATTATTTGATAAATCTTACCTACGTTGTATTGCGCAAATGCTCCGGCGAAACAATCGAAGGTGATCCATCCATTGAGCGTTTAATTGAAATACGCACAGTTTTGGAGAAAATACGACCCATCGATCACAAGCTGCGCTATCAGATCGATAAACTTGTGAAGACAGCCACCACCGGTGTGTCGAGTAGTGCCGATCCGATTTTGTACAAGGTAAGTGCTAGGTGATGTTACAAAGAGAAATTATAAAAAAAAAATAATCAATTTTAAATTTCAAACTTTTGCAGCCAAATCCAGATAATTTACTCACTAGCGCTGGCGGGAAGGATGATGCTGAGGAAGATGAAGATGCAACAGATGATTCGGCATCGGAGAGCGAGGGTGACGATGAGGAGGGCGAGGCAGGTGTGAAGAAACCCAAAAAAGGCGCTACAGCGGGCAAAACTGGTATTTATGTGCCGCCTAAAATTAAGCCTGTTTATTATGATGGCGATGAGAAATCCATTGATAAGGATAAGAAGATGATCGACCGTGCAAAGAAGCGGGCCATTACGTGAGTAGTTTGCTTTGCATCATTGTTTTTTTGGCATAGCATAATAGTGCAACTAGTTTAATTTCTTTCTTTTTTGCATGACATAATATTTTAACTAATTTAATGTTTTATGGTATGACATAATATTTCAAAAAAAATTATTTTTTGATTGGCATAACATACTAATATTTTAACTAATTTCTTTTTTTTTGGTATGACATAATTCAATTTTTTTTCTGGCTTGATATAATATTTCTAACAATCTCATTTTTTGGCAAGACATAATAAATGTAAAATTTTTTTGCCTGACATACGATTTCAAATTATTAAATATTTTTTTATTATGGGCTACTTATATGTATATTATTTCAAATAATTTTTTTTTTTTGCATAACATAATAATTTAACTAATTTAATTTTTTTGGCATACCATAATATATAAAAATATTTGATATTTTTGGCTTCACATATTATTTCGAATATTTTTTTAATTTTTGACATGTAACAGTGTTTTCACATAACCGCATATTTTAGCTAATTATTGTTATTTTTTTTTTCATAACATAACATTTAAACTTTTTTTGGCACGACATAGAGTTTCAACTAATTTCAATTTCCTTGGCATGATAAAGTTTTTCAACTAATTTAAATGTATTCGGCATGGCATAATATTTCAACTAATTAAACTTTTTATGTCATGACATAATATTTCAACTAATTGAATTTTTTATGTCATGACATAATATTTTAACTAATTAATTTTCTATTTCACGAAATCTTATTTCAGCTAATATAGTTTTTTTTTTGTGGCATGACATAATATGCATCCTAATATAATATTTTTTCGACATGACATAAAATTTCAAACTAATTTTATCGCCATTAATAGCGCATCCATGTTGCAAGATTTGAAGGAAGAATATCTCGATGCACCTACCGAAATCTCATCTGGTTCACGCGCACAACAATTACTCTCCAAACAACAGAAAGAGAAACAAGAATATGAAGAGACCTACTTAATGCGTCTGCCGGTAACCAAAGCGGAAAAGCATCGTCAACGCAAGTTGACCACTTTGGGTGAGTTGTAGATTGAAGAAATCAAAAGAAATCATCTTAAGGTAAAAATCGAAAAAAAAAAAAATAAAATTCTTTGCTTACAGCCACACTCGGCGATGAGATACTCGGCGAAATTAGTCGTGATCCAGCGTTACGTGGCGAGGGTGCCAGCGGTGGCAGTAAAAAACGCAAATTAAAGGGCAAAGGTAAAAAGCGTGGTGGTAAAAAGCGGAAGTTCCATTAAAGAAATGAACACAGGAGGCAAGCAATCGCAAAATAAAGCAAATAAAAAAATATATATACATACATACATTATTTTATTGAACGACAAGAAGTATAAAATTAAGAAAGTAAGACAAAAAATTAAACAGGAACTTTGAATAGTAACAAGAAAACAAAAGAAAAATATAAGTAGTATGAAGTAAAAGCAAACAAAAAATTAAATTTAAATAAGAAAAAAAAAAAAACAAGCAAAAAATGGTATGCATACATACGGTATTTACCATTTATTAAAACATATACATATATTATATGAATATATACATACATAAGCAAAACATGCTGATGTGAATGGAATTTAAGCAATTTTTTAAATAAATTTATATTTTTCTATAGTTACATACATAGTTATGTATATGCTTTATTAATTACTTACATACATTTTGTTGAATATACGTAAATACAATAATGAGTTGATATACATACGATTACTTAAAAAATCATAGAATATATATTTCTAAATGTGTTTCTGCACAAATTTGTTTAAAATCTGATTTTTATTATACACATATTAAGTTTGCTTAATTTACTTCTAAAATGCAATTTCGTTTAAGTTTGTAACAGTTTTGTGTGAATTATATGATTTTTAATAAAAAAAAAACCTTGTTCAGTTTCAAATGTTAAAATTATGTTGTTATTTTATTTGTTATTTAAATTGTATTAATTTACTTATATTTTAGCTAGAAAACGGATCCAGCATTGTTGAGTGCAAAAGAAAGAAAAATATTTATTTTTCTTAATTTAACTTATATTTTAAGATTTTTTTTTAATAAAAGATGGGGTTCATTCTTTTTAAGCGTCATTTCTTTTTGTAAATACTTATTTTTCGGACGCAAATCGCTCCAGTGGTTATCAAGCACCAATTATATATGTGATTTTTTGTATTTTAACGTTTCACATTACTGCTAACGATTTAGTGTTAATTTTGAATTGATTGCTTGCTGTGATGTTGACAGCACACTTCCATTTTAACATTTAACATATCCGTTAATGATTTAAAATTTATTTTGATAACTGCTGTAACGATAATATTCCCAAATGTTTCAACTGAATTAAAATTTTTAATGTTGAAATCGCTTAAACTCATCATTAACATTAATGTTAAAACGACTGCTAACGACTGTTGTTAACAGCAGATTTCCATTTTAACATTTAACATATCTGTTAACGATTTAACATTCACGACAGCCGTTAATTGCGGGAAAAATGAAATTAAATTTATTTTGATAACTGCTTTAAAGACAACATTTCCAAATGTTTTAACCGAATTGAAAATTTTAATGTAAAAATCGTACAAATTCATCGTAATTAACAGCGCAATACAATTTTAACGCTTAACATTATCTGTTAACGATATAACATAAACGAGAGCATGTCGTCACGGTTAAAAACGAATTGAAATTTATTTGGATAACTGATTTAATGGTAACATTTCAAAGTATTTCAACAGAATTGAAATTTTTAATGTTGAAACCGACGCTTTTGTGCGGTTAACGTTAATTTAAATGGTTGTTGATATGATGTTTACAGCACAATTTCATTTCCCCCATTAGAATTTTCTGTTTAACATTAACGATAACATTCGAGGCAGCTAAAGACGAAAGAATATTAATTTTAATAATTTTAACGATAATATTTCGAAATGTTTTAACCGTTGTTTAGCGTAAAATTTATCGCTGCTAGGTGTCAACTTTGCTGTAAATTTATGCATACTAATACTTGGTTACAGTTGGATCCGTAGTGATTTATTTTATATTAAAATTATTATGTTACTTAATTACATAATTTCATTTCAATTTCCTTCCAAATTACCAAAAAAAAAAAAAAGGAAAAAAAAAAGAAAACAAACTCACAACTCGCAATAAACTGCATTCATTTTTCGGCCACAAAATTAACAGCTACCACAACAATGTACTATAAAAGAAATATATACATACAAAATATGCAATTTTCTAAACTTAATAAAATTAATATAATATTAACAAAAAAAAAAAAAATATGTTACAAAAAGCAATTTCGACGTCAAAAATTAAAAACAAACAAAAAATTATTGCAAATTATGCAAATAAAAGAAAATGATGTTAGCCATTAAAAAAAAAGAAGGCGACAAAGAAAAATTAAATAAAAAATCTTTCGTTGTTTTTAGGAGTCAAAATTTACGTCTTTGGCAAAGCAAATTTAAAATAAATTTTTGTTAACAAACAATAAAAAAAAACAAAAGCAAACAAAAAATGTTTTAAAATTATGAAAATAAAAATTAAAAGGAAATGATGAAAAATTGTACAAGTCTGGCGGCATAAACAAAATCCGATTAACGCAACAACAACAAACACCAACAACAACAACAACAACTCTCTCTATCTAAACAAACAACACACAAACACACACTCACCAAGCAATAGCCCAAAATGCAGTTTACAACAACAATTCGATGAGAATTTAAATGAAAACAAGCAAATAAGATCAATGGAAATTTTTTTCAAAATTCATATATTCCGATAAATAAGATTTCAGAACAAACAACAACAAAAAAATGTTTACAAAAAAAAAAAACAGAACAAATGACGTTGCCTTATCTAATTGTACGAAAAAAAAGTATTTAAATAAAATGAAATATTAAAACAAAAAAGAACAAAAATTTAAACAAAGTAAACTACAAGAACAACAACAACAACAACAACAACAACAGAAACAACAAAAGTGTCAAAGAAATAATATAATTTAATAAACCGAACACTAAACAAAGCAAATCAGCCCAAAACAAAAAAGAAAATGAAACAGAAAAGAAATAAAATGTAAAGTAACGAAACAGACCGGTTATACGAAATACCCAAATATAATAATAACAAATTATAATAACAATAAAAACGAAAGATTTATTTAAATTATGTAAAGTAGAATTCTTGAAAATGCATTCGCTGGTCAGCAAACAAAGAAATTGCAATCAAATAAGCAAATGCTAAATAAAACATGAATTTATATTTAATATAATTTCAATTTAGTTACTTAACTAAAACAGGTTAAGTTTTGTGATGAAAAGCATTAATTAAGCAAAACAAAAAAAAAAGCCTAAAACAAAAAATAGTCAATATACAGTAAGGAATTTACTTATGATGACGTAAATCATTAGAGAATTGCAGGCAGTTGACTAAATTTTAAAATAAAACATACATACGTACATACGTGTACGTACACATCCTGTTGGTGGAATAAAAACCGATGAGTAAACCCCACCCAAGAAACAGTTTGATAAATCGCATGTGTCGCAGAAAATGTTTTAATTAAAACTAAACAAAAGAAAGAAAAAAACGTTTTTGCCATAATCGAAATATATTTTTTTTTGTTTTTCATTATAATAAATAATAAATTTCAGTTTTTCAACGGCTGCTCCTAAAAACAACTAAATTAAGTAATGTAAAATATTTTTTCTTGAATTATACAAAACCGTAGAAATAATTAAAGATAAAGTAGTAAATAGAAATTTTCCATAATTAGGCGAAAGATAAGAGAGTTCGTAGACTGTTGGCACTATTTTAGTAGGAAGAAATGATGAGCATAATTTTTTATTTAATTATTTTATGATACCAATATGTATGTATGTGCAAAGCGGAAGTTACCCGAAATTAAATAATATTCGTAGTCTAGCAGACAGCTACTTCAATAATTGTTTAATATTTTGAGCTCGCAACGTCTGACCAGATAGCTATGCTTTGACATTCTAGACAAATATCCACGCTGTCGTTGTCGCCACCGATAATACGATACTGTAATGTGGTGTGCATAGTGAACGCTAAGCTAACGTGACGTTGCAACTGATGTACACCTCAACAGATTTGAGAGACCGTTTACTGGTGTTTACGCGAGGTACCTTCTTCTTGAGAAATTAAAAGTCACTCGCGTATTCGATGTGATTTGTGTACAATGTTTTTATTCACAATTATATTCACACAGGCAAAGTCAATTTTGCATAAATGTTTGTTTTAATTAATTACCAAATATATATATATAGATCTATTTTCTTTCCTATTTATGAGTTTTATGACATTTATAATATGATATATAAATTTATCGTATTTGAAATACTGTCGCCCTGTGCGCGCTTGCCGTAGTATTGATATGAAATCTCGCTGGTTTGTTTGGCAAGCACGGCTTATATAGGCCAAAGGCGCATTAGGGTGTGTTCAAAATATTAGGAAGGCGCCTTGTTTATCGCGCGCTTAAACAACTGGGTTTCTTATGAAGCTGATTTTCCCCAATGAAGTCGTAAGAGCTTCGTCTGTCTCGCTAGGGCGTTCGTAATACGATGAGTGACGGAGTGAGAGGTGATGAGGCGATGAAGTGGCATGTGTTGCGGCTATAACGCTAACCGCATGTTGGTTGGAATAAAAGAGAGGGGAGTTGGGCTTCAATCTTCGTGGAGCTTCGTTGTACGGTGAAAGTCTGTTGAGGCTTGCCCCTTTGAAGGCTAGTCGTAGCTACAGCTGTTTAGAGTTTATTTAGTTTGCTATCTTTCTCGTATGCTGCGGTGATGTGAAACTGTCCAATGAGCCGGTACAGCATGATCACTTGTTCTGTTTAATTTAATCTGAATTTTCATCTCAATCATTAGCCGGCAACTTCAAAGTGGTTTGTTAAGCACATTGACTTCCTGTACTTATGTACTGGAAAAATCAAATCTTGAGTCATACGAGGTGCGACAATTAAGTAACGAGATTCCATAAAAACCGTATATTTCAAAAATTATTCCAACGCGTTTTCCATGTTTCGTAACATTTCTGGAACGCTTTGACTGCCTCGTCACGGCCGCCTGGATGTCCTCATTCGAGTAAAAATGGTCTCTTTTGACCACTGAGTTTGTTCTAGGGAAGAAAAAAGCCACAGGGTGACATATCGGGCGAATAAGGCGGTTGTTGCAACATGGCGATCCCTTTAGGGGCCAAATACTGGGACACGCTGAGGGCGTTGTGGCACGGCGCGTTATGGTGATGTCCCTGTAACCAGAGACCCATGTGATAGACATTGTGTTCTATTTGGTCTTCTGTAGAGATTTTTCAACAATTTAACACT